ACTATACTCAAACATCCCTCATGAAGAAGGTGTAGCTGCATGTACTAAGTTCCTTAATCGGTTTTTTTCTTATGAGACAACTTCGGATATTTGCTCAATCATCGAATTTATCTTGAAACATAACAATTTTATGTTCAATGAAAAACATTTCCTACAAACCAAAGGAACGGCAATGGGAACAAGAATGGCGCCAAGCTACGCCAATATTTTTATGGCAGACCTCGAAGATCGTATATTATCCAACTACCACCTCAAACCGACATTCTACACCCGATACATCGATGATATTTTTCTCATATGGGAAGATGGTCTAGATTCTCTGAAACAGTTTGAAACGTATATCAATAATATTCACCCCAGCATAAAGTTCACACTAGAGATGTCTCGCACTGAGATACCATTTCTCGACATCACAACGATGCTCCATAACGGCGATCTATCCACGACTATCTACTCTAAACCAACGGATAATCACAAATACTTAGACTATTTCAGTTTTCATCCTATGAACTTAAAACGATCCATTGTTTACAGTCAAGTTCTCCGTCTCAAAAGAATTTGCTCAGAGCCCACTGATTATGCAACCAGAGTATCGTCTCTCGCATCACAGTTCATAAAATGTAGATATCCTCTTTCCGTCATTAAATCGGCCATAACTAAAGCATCGCACCGACCAAGAACCGACCTTCTTAAATACAATGCCAAATCACACTCAGATCGCATACCGCTCATATTAGACTATAGCCCTCGTACAAGACCACTCACGAATGCGATTAAGACGGACTTTGAAACATTGAAAAAAGACCCATCCATAAAGGCTGCTTTTCAGAACCCACCAATAATCGCACGTAGACAGCCACCCAACCTCAAGTCGCTTTTAACGTCTACTCAACTACCTACTACCGGTAACACACCGAAGAAGGGGAACATGCCTTGTGGTAAAGCAAGATGCCAACTATGCAATATTATCAACACTAAGCAAACATTCAAAGTACCTGGCACCAACTTCATTATCCACCCACCCAATGATGACTGTTGTGCACATAATGTATTATACCTAATTTATTGCACCAAATGCAATAACGGTAATTATGTGGGAGAAACCGGTACTACATTCAGATCCAGGTTTAATAACCATAAAACTACCATTAGAAATAAGGACTCTAATCACACTGTATCTTTGCATTTCAATTCTCTTGACCATGATATTAACGATATGCGCTTCCTTATAATAAGCTCCAATTTCAAATCCACTAAGGACAGACGGTGCGAGGAAACCAAATGGATTCATCGCTTAAAAACCCATATTAACGGCCTCAACAAAGATAGGGGCATTGTTCACGACTATGCTTTTGCGAATAGTTCAACTTAATAGAATGCTTTATTTATAACTTTGTTAGTTTCCATACTCCTAATATTATGTTGCCCCTCATGGGGGATTACTACTATTCTATATATATTTTTTATACATAGTTTATATTTACATGCCTCTACTTGATTTATCTTTATACA